CTAAGAAAATTATTAAATTCATGGGGTTTTGTTTCTGTTTTCTTGGCACTGAATTTTCACACTTGGCCAGAAGAACGAATTTATTTCTTTTTGGTTTTTGTTATGGGGTCTAATTTTCCAAGAAAATAATAATCCCCTTTCTTGTTCTCTAATTTACTCTTCGTCTTTTTTATAAAAATAAAAATAAAAAATCACGCTTTGTGTCAAGAAAACTTCAAAAACAAGCAAACATGAAATCATGTTGCTATCATCTTACTTTGAACCTAAACTAGAATTCACTTGGGTTCATATTTTTAATGTGTAATCCAGATTCACAGTCTAAAACCGTTTCGGCTCATTTTAAAAAGCTGTCAAGATACATGTGTGATTGTAATTAGTAACATATGTAACTTAAAAGCTAAGATTAGAATATATCCAGCACTACTATTCCATTTCTTGACTTACCTAGATTTTTGTCTGATTTTGTGTTTCTAATATTTTCAACTTTTGTTGACCAATTCAGGAAATGTCAGCTCATTCACTGGACATGCTGGTCTGCTCAAAAACCCAACAGCAGCAGCAGCAGCAAGACAGGAAGCCAAGGCCTCAACCAGAGCAGGCTCTCAAGTGCCCAAGATGTGACTCCACAAACACCAAGTTCTGCTACTACAACAACTACAGCCTCTCTCAGCCAAGGTACTTCTGCAAGGCCTGCAGGAGGTACTGGACCAAGGGGGGTACACTGAGAAATGTTCCAGTGGGTGGTGGGTGCAGGAAGAACAAGAGATCCTCCTCCTCATCAAAGAGATCACAAGACCAACAACCCCTCACACCCAATTCCAATAACCCTCTCCCTTCCCTTGGATATGACTCAAATGACCTCACCCTTGCATTTGCTAGGCTCCAAAGACAGTCATGTGGGCAGTTGGGTTTTGATGACCAAGACCACCTTTCTATTTTGGGAAACCACAACAACACCACTTCCCATGGTGATCATTCTATTCTTGGAAACCATGGCCTTAACATGAACGCTACTTCAGCTGCTGCAGCACCTGGGTTTCTTGATGCACTCAGGACTGGGTTTCTTGAAACCCATAATGGTAATTTCCAGAACATGTATTATGGGTTTGGAAATGGGAGCAACAGCAGCAGTTTGGGTGAGGTTGAAAATGGGGTATGTGGAGAAATGGGGCTCCACCCATTTGAGGAAATGACCAACTCAACCACCACAGCAGTCACAGTGACAACAATGAAGCAAGAGCTTTGCAATGCAAGAGATCATCAAAGTGAGAGCAACAGGGTTTTGTGGGGCTTCCCATGGCAGCTCAATGGAGACGCAAACAATAATATGGTTAGTAATGAGTGTGATTCAGGAAGAGTAGAGAGCTGGAATGGTCTTGCTCCATCTTGGCATGGGCTTCTCCACAGTCCCCTAGTGTAAAACCCTTAATGAATTCAGCAGTGTTTAGTGTGATGATCAGCAAGAAAAACAAAAGCTAAGAAAGCATAGGTTTTTAATAGGTTTTTCTTTTTCTTTTTCTTTCTTCTTCTTTAATTTGTTCACTTATCAGACTTAAAATGTCAGTTTTAGTGCTTTTAAGTTTTGCATTAAGATGTTATATCATATCGATATGATTCACTTGAATCATCATCATCATCATCTCCATTTTCATTTTACTTAGTTTTGGTTTCCTTTTTTATTGGTTGATAAAACTCATGAAATCCCCAAGATTTGTTTGCTAACCAAGTCGAGAAACTTGCAGAGGTTGCCAAAGAATCATATGTACATTTCCATATAAAAAAAGAAAAAGATTAAGAGAGAGAAGAGAGAGAGAGTGAGAGTGATGTTTCATGGTTTGTGCAGTCTGAACTCTCTGACTCTTTGAAAAGCAAAGTTGTTGGAGAGAGAGAGAGAGAGGGCTTTGGATTTCGAATGAGTGGTGTTTTCAACATATTCTGCTATGATTACATCATATTTTCAGGTAGATATTCTTGGAATATTTTAATTGGGATTATTAAATTACCTAGGAATAATTATATATTTGATATAGGGTTCTCTTCTCTTCTCCCCAAGCATAAAAATTTCAGTGAAGCATGACTCCATGAGGCACCAATTTCCTGGTGGATTTCTTTCTGTTAATATTATTAGCAGACCAAATCCAAGTTAGGATTTGGGCGTGAGATAATAGTCAGCAGAATCAGCAGCTTCTGTTTGAAAATCTCTGTTTAAGGCAGCTGTGCCTGGTTTTCATATTTTATTACTGGTCTGCCAAATTTACTGCCTTTTGAATTTGAGTGGGACAACCAGATTTTCAGAATAGAAAATGAAAACATGCAAATTCCAACTTCAGAATTTTTTATATGATATGGTATGTTTGGTTTTGATGAGATTTTCATGTCATACTGAAGATGACAGTGCTCATTAACGACAAGGGGTCGTTATTCACTCACCAAACATACCCTACAAAATTTGTCCAATTTGCATAATTATATGATATCAGGCTCTCCTCAAGTTGTTATATAAGATATATTAATTGGTACGGCATCTTATTAGTCAAGATAACGAAATCTCCTAGTACTACCAAATAAATAAAATCACCTAAATCTCCTTGCTTTTCTTAAAATGAAAATCTTCTTCCCCCCAACAAAATTTAAATTTTATACGAATTTTCAACTCAAATGATATGGATATTTTAGTCACGCTCCAAAAGAGATGTTTCTAGTTTTTTTTTTCAGAAGTTTTCATCAAAATGATATTTCTCTTCTTAATGGTAGAAGTGGTCACATGTTCAGAGTTTTCAACAAAATTTTAAACTTTTGCTCATCAAAACAATAATATATATAATGACGAATCCAGGAATATTTATAGGGGGTGGGCTATTTTATTTTTAGAGATAAGCCCTATTTTTTAACTAATTTTTATTTATTTATAAGAAGCAATATTTCCTTCAGATTAATGAAAGTGGTATACTTTTGGACTATTCAGTATATTTCCTTCATATTAAAAACTATTTTCAAAATTCATTAATAAAAAAAAACTATTTTCAAAGAGATACATGAATAAAGAAACCTACAATAAACAAAGAAAACCCACAAAACCACAAACCAAAATTCATAGGCTTAGACGAAGATCAGTTTGAAGCTCACCAACTTTGGGTCGGCGGAGTGGTTCAATGAGGAAGGGTCCATATTTCAATATTTTCAAAAGAAGCAAAATGAATAAAATTGAAAAAACAAAATTAGAGAGAGATGTAAACATTATTTGAGCCAAATTAGAGGCTAAATAAACCAAAGAAGAAAGAGAGAGAAAAAAGACTCTAGTAATGAAAGTATTAAAGTATTCGACTGTAGATAATGTATATGAGGTGGGCTGCTTTCTAGAAAAAGGGGTGGGCTATTATTTAATTTTCCTAAATTGAGCTTACACAATGTCTCTCTCCAAAGTCAGCACTGAGTTAGAGCCCACTCTAGCCCAAGCGTGGATCCGCCCTTGTATATACATTTTTTAAAACTTCCAAAAACTAAGAACTAAGACAATTAGAAAAGTGTCAGGCATAGCTGCTAAGATAAACGTTGCCTTGGTGACCATCCCTGTTAAGAGTTGCATTGTAAGTAGCATCTCATGCATACCTATATGAAATAGTAGTTTAGATTGTAGGGGAAATGGCATTGATGATCAGGTTAGATGCTGTTTATGTTATTAGATGTACTAATTTTGACATAAAACAATTGAGCTAGGGTAGTTGATTTTTACATTAGTATTTAATATAAATATGTGCATTATATAGTTTAATAAGATTGTATATATGCAGGGCTACTTCCATAACGGGTTGTTTCGAGTTTTTATGTGCAAATGGGTTGAACTTGAAGCTAAGTGTAAGAGTATTTAGTTATTTCGAGTTTTTATGTGCAAATGGGTTGAACTTGAAGCTAAGTGTAAGAGTATTTAGTTATGCGCCCAATATCCTAGGTTTGATTCTCCTTTTTTTCAATCTCGGTTGTATAAAAGAAAATAAAAAATAAAGAGGTTACCATTCACATAAGAGTCCTTTTTTTTTTTTTTTTTTTTTCCCCCTCCTAAAAGTCTTTTTTTTTTTTTTTTTTTTTTTTTTTTTTTTTTTTGGTGTGATCGGGTTCACATAAGAGGCTTAAGAGCCAAAAAGAAGGAAAGATACAAAGAGAGGGAGAGAGGCCGTTTATTATGGGCAAAAGAAATGGGCCTTTCACTTGTTTCCTTCCATATCAGGCTTGGGCTAACTACACAAGCAGAGCAGATTGTGAATAGGATGGAGAAAACAAAGGAGTTGAGTGTGCTCAGTGCTGGGCCAAATATAAAAGGTAACTGAGACTTGGGTTTTGGAGAAAATGTAGAAGTAGAATTAAGATCATAAATCTTTCCCAATTAAAAATGAACATACATTATATATGCAAGTGCAAGAGAATGATCCATTGCTAGTGGAGTGGAAAAAACAAGAGCTTGACCAATGAATAGAACCATCTACCTTGTTAAACCCATGTCCATATCATGATGACTGCAAAACCAGTTAGTAGAGTGCGTCTTTAGTTGTTAGCCAACTAGAAGAAATTGCTTGGGATTTGGAATTTGTTAATAGATTTGCAGGCAAGGTTGAAGGTATCGATATGGTATTGGTAAAATGGACAATAATCATATGAGAAAATTACATACTTGTTCAGAGAATTCAAACGAGGAGAAAGCTCTAAAAAGCTCAACACTTTAAGAGGTAGAAGAAGCACCAATACAGAAACCAGCAATGGGGCTCGTTCCGCAGTGACATAATCAAAATTTAGATACTAGATCATGCAGGCAGAAACTTCACGTCTCTATACATTGCTAACTACTAAAAGATTTGATACTGCACCTACATAGAAGCTGGGTCAAAAACAATGCACACAGTCGACGCATAAACAAGCATTTAAGGATGAAAGGGCCAAGTCAAATATGAGCATTGGAGTGATCGAGAAAACATAATCAGAGAAAAAGAACATATTTTGCCACAAAATTTCCATTAAAACATAAGCATCTGATTATAGAAAGGAGAAGAGAACGGACAATGGAGGAATAAAATGCTGACAAAATCTCTAAATCAAAACGTTTAAGTAGCAAATCAAAACGTTTAAGTAGCACAACAGACAAAACATTTTATAGGAAATTCAAGATCTTGGCTTCTCCTTCTTCTCCTTGAAGAGAGCCAAAAGTGACACGCCTGAGACCTTCACAACCTTGAACCTAACTCCGGGAATATCACCAACAGCATGTCCCTTACGACCAAATCCAGCAATCAGAACCTCATCCTGCATGCGGCCACAATAATCAGTACAGCCAAAACCAATCAACTAAAAGACTTAATTTTTTCAAACATGAAAGCCAAGAGCTGGCAGCATTTATTCTCTACTATACTCACATTCTCTTCAATGTAGTTCAAGCAACCATCATTTGGCACAAAGGCAGCAATCTTCTTTCCATTTTTAATAAGCTGAACTCGAGCACACTTTCTAATGGCAGAGTTAGGCTGCTTGGCTTCAATACCACTGCACAATTCAACACCAAAAAAAATGTAAGAACTATTGTCTAAGAATTCGGACCTCAAAGGATTGGTTGAAAAAGTGAAGGATAAGGGATCAAGCTGAATTTCCATACATTTTCTCAAGAACAATGCCTTTTGCGTGGGAAGATCCAGCAAATGGTTTCTTCCACTCATTTCCCAGATGAGATTTCTTGTAAGACTTGTCAGCCCACCTTTGCCTTCTGCGGTGGTCCTTCAGCTTGCGAGCTGCTCCCATACCACGTGTCTTCCTGCGAAAAGTTGCTACAAGTGTTAAGTCAATTATTTCTAGAAGGATTTAAAATCCGTACTGACATTGTTGGTTTTAATAAACTTGTATCAACAACACAGCCAATAGAATAGTCACTTCAGATGACTACGTATGGAGTCTGATTTTTTTCATTGCATCAAATAACTAATACAAGAAGATAAACATGGTAAAAACCCAGCTAATCAATATAAAATTTCCCCAAACTATTTCAGTTTTGTGCTTATTTTTGTTCAGTCAAGTTTAGTCATATGGTATTTAACAAAAACGCCTTCTAGAACTTAGGTTCGGCTTATTTCAATTGTATTTTGGTTACAGAACCAACTCAACATAAAGGTTCTTCTTATGTCAAGAAAACATATCCCGGAAAAATGGTCACGAAACGAAAACTTTTCCTTTCAAACGAACATCAAAATTTTTCCAACTGGAGAAACTTAAGCAATCGAAACCATAATGAAACGAGTCAAATGCATTGCTTCAATTTCTTTCTTAAAAAAACACAAACCGGTCACTGAAAAACTAACATATTCACTCGGTTCTTAGATCTAAAAACGTGTGCACTATAAACTATTTGATTCAACTAATATTGCTGAGATTTTGAGTAGATTCTATACAATGAATTCTATCGAGAAACTAGTTTCTGAGAAAACAAACAGAAAGTGAAAGCTGAATTGAATGGATGTAGGAACAGGAAGCTTACCCCATGGTGACCGAAGAAGAGACTCGGCGACTAGCAGAAAAGATTCGGAGCCGCAAGAAGAAAACAGCTCTAGGTCACCAACAGCAATGAGAAACCCTAGGGGCTTATCACTCTCACTTAAATATAGGTCTTCGTTTTGGGCTTAGATATAAAACAAATAATGGGCCTACGCTACTTTAAATGAAAGGCCCACTAAACTTCAATTTACACATACGCCTACTATCTTTGAATGTGGAGGTTTTTCCAGAGTCCAATCCATTTATTTTCTTTATATATATATATATATATATATATTTAGAAATTCTCTTATGCGGACATCCGGACGTTATTATCGTGCGGACGCAGTGTATTTTGTACTACCCCTCTCTGTTTTCCTGCCTGTTTACAATAGGATCCGGACGATAATAACGTGCGGACATCCGGATAAGAGAATAACTGTATATATATTTATATTTATATATAAGCGATATTGAGAAAAAGAGGAACCGAAACTATGATCTCGGGTAGATGGGTAAATGAAAAAAGGCTTGCCCCGGATCCAAATTAATTAAAGAAATTTTGAGTCAAATTTTTGTGCCAAAGTGAGTTACTCTTGCTTGACACTAACTTCTTGGCACGACGAAAATGGTACGACCTACTAATACAATTAAGTATTGTATTTGTTGGTACCATTTGTATAATGAGAAGTTTCCAATTTATTTTATTTTATTTTTTTCAGTTATTGCAACTTGCCAGTAATTGATTTTGATCTATAAAATGTTGTATAAACTCAAATCCAGATTCACTACTTTCCTTCTATTGTGATAACTAAAACTTGTTTTCATAGAACGAATGTTGGGATCCTAGGAGATATGTGTGGTAATTTTCTTCTCCATAAGAAAAAAAAAACGGACAAGAACAATAAATTTGAAAAGACATGACACAATACGAAGTTTCTCTTTGATAAAAAAAAAGGGTACTGATTTTTCCACTCCCTTTTTATCCACTTACACTTCATTTTTTTTAAAATTATATGTTCTCACTCCTTTTTTGTTCACTTACACTCTCTTTTATCTTATAGTAAAAAGTATAAGAAAAATAAAAGGGAGTGTAGGTGGATAAAAGGGGAGTGGGAAAATGACCACCCTAAAAAAGAAAAAACCAAAAAAGTCCCTGCTCGCTTGGTTTATTTAAAATAAAAATAAAAAGAATCATCAAATTAAGAAGAGCTAATGAGATTTTATGAAATGACCTTCCATGAAAATAAAAATTATGACATGAGGGACACTTAATTTGGGTAGGAAGTTTGAGCTTCTCTTGGGTTGAAGCCACATTAGTGGTAAGAATGCACCATGACACTTCAAATAAAGCAGAAAGAAAGGAACTTGGCACATCATCACTTTAATCAACTCAGATAATAATAAGGAGGAAATTTCCAATCAACAATTAACAAAGGAATTAAGCAAACAGCTCAATAAGGAGGGGAAGGAGCTAACCCAGATATTTTAATAAGTAAATAATGTCTCACATAACAGTAATATTTGTCCTTAACTAATACATACATATATACCTTCCACAACTCATGGCAGCAAAGCTCAATTTTTTCATATAGCAGAAAATTCATAATTATAAACTCTCTTCTGGGTTAAAGGGAATGAACCAAAATAATCTATGCATTGCTGCCGCTACACTAGTAATAGAAGCTTAGTAGATTGCCAACTTTAAACCAACTGGATTAGCTCTTCCCCCAAAACCATAACATCTGTCAGAAGAAAAATAAAAATGTAGTTAGATTATAAGTAATTGCAAGATGAAAAAACCTTAAAGTTGATGGATGTAAGCAAAAGTAAAAGTATCAACCTGTCCGGCGGCGTTTCATTTCTGCGGCTTCTTCCAAAAGACTCCAATCTTCTTTAGCATGTTCCCATTTTTCTTCTTCAGTAAATCATCATCCATATCTTCAGAGTATGGTGAGCCAAACTTCCCAGTAACATGATTAAAGCTGCTGTCCAAAGATGCAGTTCTGTCCATGAGCTTGCCATTATTTCCGGCTGAAAGCATGGCTGCAGCTGCTTCAGCAGCCTTCCTCCACTGGTCGGACTGCACTTTTAGCCTTCTCAGTTCTGCCTCCATTTCTGCATTGGCTGCTTGAGCTGCCTCCAGCTGTTCAGCCACCCTTGCTACCCTCTTGTTGCTCTTATCTGCCTCCTCCATCACAATCCCAAGCTTCGTGAGAGCCTCTCGCTCCGCGTACCTTGCTGCCTCTACTTCAGCCACTACCTCATTGTTTATTTTACTCTTGTCCATTTGGATTTTGTTGATTTCCAATCTCAGCATGTCATTCTCTTCAGATATAATCTGTAGTTCTGTTTCCTTATCCATCAAATGAGCCTTAAAATCTGCAACATGCCCTTTCAGTTCTTTCAATTCCTTTTCCAGTTCATACTCTCTCTGGCATGACAGGCTCTTCTCAAGTTGGGAATTCAGCCCCTCATTTTCCTCTGAAATGCATTGTAATTCAGTTTCCTTATCCATCAGGTGTGCCTTCAACTCTTCAATTTCAGCTTTGGTTTTCTTCAGTTCTGCCTGCAGTTCCCCCTCTCTCTGACTAGATGTAAATTTTATCTGCTCCACCAGTTCATTAGCACTTCTTAGCTGCACTGTGCTCTGAGTTTGTTCTTCATGGTATTTGGTCTCAGCGGTTTCAAGAGTAGATCTTAGCCGTTTTACTTCAGACTTCAAGGTGTGAAACTCTGCCTCAGTCTGGTTTGATTCCATATTCTCTCGCTTTTCTCCAAATTCCTGCTGAAGGTCATGGTCACCAGTCTGATTTTGCAAAACATTGCTGCTTGCAATAATTAGGTCAGCCTTGAGTTTGCTAACAAGTTCTTCTAGTAAATTTATATGCGCCTTTGACTGATCTAACTCTGAAGCAATGGAGTTGTAAGCTTCTGTTGATTTCATGCCATCTAACCTGAGTGCCTCCACTGTTGTCCTTGCAGATTCCAACTGCAGTAGGGTTTCACCAACCAGTGCTTGTGCGTGAGCTTCTGATTCCTTGCTGTCCTTTAATTGGTTCTTCATGTTCTCCAAAAGAGAAAGCGTTTCTGCCAAGTTTCCTTTCAAGCTTTGGAGCTCGGCATTTGCTGATTCTGCATGCTTTGTCTGCTCAGCCTCAGATGCAGCTAGTGATTCAAGTTGCCCCTTAAGCCTCTCAATCTCATCAATGGCAGATACCAAGGCAGTTGAGTCAACTGATTGCTGCTTCCGCACAGCCTCAAGCTCGACCTGCCATGCTCGATCTTTTTCTTGTGATATCTTGTGGAGCTTGATAACACGAGCTTCCTCAGAAAGAGAAAGCTCCGGAAGCTGCAGCTGGGATTCTTCGAGCTTCGAAGACAAGGACAGTAATTGCTTCTTGGACTCCTCGGCATCTTGCTGAGCTTTTTCCTTGCATGATTCGGAAGATTGCAACTGGTCCTTTGCTTTTTTCAGATCTTCCTGGAGCTGAGAAATCTGAGATTCCAATTCAGATATTCTACTAGGGCCCTTCTTCTGGGTCAAGAATATAGACGAATTTTTAGAACCTTTTCTACATCACATAACAAGTATACAATGTATGCAATACAAACATTTTTACTAGCAAATCTCACAGCTGTGACACATGAGGAAAAAGGTACCCAAGTAAGGATGGCATTGGAGCAAAGACAAGATGAAGAAAGACCTTTTATAACATGATGAAGAACTGAGCTAACAAAAACCATGAATATGTATTAATTGTAAAGGTAAGAATAACTGAAGAAACATGTTAAATGTTACATGTACTGTAATGGGCCTGCATTTATAGATTAGGCAGAACAGGGTTTTCTCTTCAGAAATGAGAAGCTTCTCTGCCGCCTCTACAACCAAAATGTTCCTTCTATATCATCATAATTTATGTTGGCGTATGACACTAAAAATTAATAAAGAAGAATGACACTAAAAATTAATAAAGAAGAAACAAAGGCCTCCAGCTTCAATATTTTTAAACAGAAAGGAAAAAAGTTAAAGAAAAATGTGATGCCTAAAAATATGTTGCCATTTCTCATAAAGTTATAAGAAAGAGAAAAAAATCCAACCAGAAAGCAAACTCATATAATTATGTCTATTCAAAATCCAAACAGGTTCTCTTGCAACTAAAGCATTTATGAAGCTTCTAGCACATAAAGTATAAAACCCCAGGTTTAGACTATCCTTACAGTACACTCTAGTGGTTATACAGCATTCTATATATTGTGAAACAGAAGGATCCATGGAATCCGTTCAAAACTACCTCAGGCAATGGACTTCTGGGTGATCTCCGCTCATTCACTTTTGGGCTTTTGTCTTTAGATATTCTTCTAGCTTGACTTGAAGTAGATGCAGAATCAGTCTCCAATGCAGTTGGCCTGAGTTGGCGAGCAACTCGAGGGGAGACCCTTTGAGGTGGAGAGACCCTTTGAGGCACTTCAGAGGAGCCACTCCTGATAGAAAATTAATAAATGAATCAAATGAAGATCAGGTCAACTATCACAATGTTCTGGGAATTCAAAAGGAATTCAAAATAGTAACTCTCAGAACGATGAACTTGTGCTTTATTTCATGAAAAACACAGGTTATGTACATTGCAAGATTTCATCCTAGAATACTGACATTTGACTTATATCCTACAGTGGCTGGTGGATAAATGGACATTGTGCAAACCTTGGCAACATATTTAGAACTTAGGAGCAAGTCTCTACCAAAATATTTAATGGAGGATAAAATAATAAAATGAGTAAAGTTGATACAATATTAAGAGGGATGCCATATTTACTGGAAAGAAACAACTTTCCCCGTATAGAACGTTTTGGGGGGCACTGTTTGCCGATTTACAGTATAACTAAGATCCATATTCCGTGCAACTAATATAATTCCACTTGACATGAACAGTTTGGTTGCTTAAAACAATTTACCAACATTTACAATATTCATATCATAAAACAATTTTATCCAGTTTTTATCCACTCTCAAACAAATGACCTAAAAAAATTTCAAACTTTCGAGAATCATAATTGTTGCAAGTCCACAATTCCAATCAGCTGCAGTAATGGAAAGATCCCACACAAACATAAAGTAGTATACGCACTGACACAAAGAAAACGACCAAGAAAATGTTTCCTGCAATGACCTTCAGTAATAAAAAGATTCCACATAACAAACACAGGCCAACACAGAAAATTACAAACAAATGCAACACAGTGATATAATCCTTCTCTTTTGTAAGCTAAGAAGTTGTACATAATGATGCTGATACCAACTAATGATAAAATTCCTTCCCCATATAATCAAATTGCCCAACCAATAAGTCCTCAATCTAATGTGCGCATGAGATTATGCAACTAAAGTCACTTAATTGGTTCATGGGGCCCATTACGTTCCTTTGATAGCTGCACTGGGTCTTGAGGGCAGCAGTATAGCTGCCAAGAGGCCCCAGCTTAACCTCAAAGGCAGAGGAGACGACAAGTTGCCAAATCTTTATTTTGATGCTGATATGATAGATAGATATTGCTACCAAGGCCCTTACCACAAAACCAGTCCACTACTATCAGCAGTGGACGTGCCACAAATAGATTGGTACGATGTTCCACAGAAATAGGACAAACTCGAAACCAGATGTAAAAAGTTGAGTTTATAAAAATTAAAGGAGAGGCTGCTCGCAATAAAGAAATATAAATGCATAAAAAAGAGCTAACAACAACGTCAATTTCTCGCAGCATCAGTTAGCACTTCTGGAAATGTATCCTTCACCATTATTAGTTTCATTAGATTATACAGCAATAACGAAAAGTATACAGCATTACCTGTTGCCTCAAAAAACAAAACAACCCCTCATACGAACAAGCTCCTCGGAGGAGAAGATACCAATCATAAAAGAGAGCAAGTGAAGTTACCTTGCTTTTGGGGTCTGCATATTCAACTGCCCTTTTCTAGGAACAAAGGTGAGAATGAGATTGAACTAATTTAAGCTTCACCACTTGAGTGCCTGCGACCCACACGACCTGAAACAGTTGAGATAAAATCACAAGGGTATCCAATGTTTTAATGTAAAAGAAATAAATGGGTTTCATGAAGGACATGTGCTCCTTATCATCACAAAGAAAGCCATTATAGCAAAGATGTGCCAAACATAAATTCAACGTTCCAAACCAAAAGATAAAAAATGGTATCTCAACAAACAAATTTAATGCTTGATACCACAGCCCCACAGGGTCTAACCATGATCAAGACCCATCATTGTAATCACAGCTAGCCGACCAAATTACAGAAATACCCCTTATCCTAACAAGGAACATAGTCAGCTAATTTCGCTCCCAAACGAGGGCAGTTTCGTATTAGGGAGAAAAAGTTCCCTCCACCAGTTCTGCCGTGAAATGAGGGCACCAGTTTAAAAATGGAAGAACACAAAATGGTTTTCTCAAAACTGCTCAAAGCTTTTTGGTAATGTATTATGTGAGTTGAAACCCCCCACAGATCAGCTTGTCTCTTGATTTTCGAAGAAAACACTATTTTCTCGGAAGGGTATCATTATTTTCCCTTGAAACAAACACACAGAAACAGATCTGGAGACAGCATAAACCCAAAAGAGATAAAATAAAATAAACCATGGAATCAGAATCTGCAGAATAAAGCAGGTAATGTAGCTGAAGAAATTGAATCAACGGCCTCTTTGGAAGAGGGAAAGGGAAAGTAGATTATATGGAACAACTTTTTGAGATTCGATTTTGCTTTTCAAAGTCTGCAAAAGACAAAAAGCCTGCAAATGCTGAAGCTCAAAGTCTGCAAATGCCAGAAAAGAAGAGCTGCATTGTATTGTATCACTTAGCAGAGGAACTTCTTTTTATATACTCACATTTCAGCCAAAAAGAAGTTCAAAAGAAACATCATTACCCTTGAGACTACAAAAAAAAGTTTTGAAAAAACTTTAAAAGATGAAAATAAACCAAAAACGGAACTAACCTTGTTTGGTTGCCAGGAAAATGTAGGAAAATAAAAGAAAAAGAAAACCCATTGGGACATCAGAAGCAAAATGCTTGAAAATGCATGGTAATGGGATAGTGCTGTTCTGTTTCCTCTGTATCCCCACATTTTCGCAGCAGACAACCAAGAGCAGAATATTTGGGAAAGTTCACAGAAAATTACAAAATAAAAACAAAAAACAAAAAACGAAAAAATGGAGACATAAAAAGAGAAATGGGTCAACCTTACTTGGTGAGCTTGTGGGAGATAATGAAGTATATTGTAAATGCACGAAGCAGAGTATGAGGAATGTCCTTCTTCCTCTTCGTCTTCTTCTTCTAATTTTTGTTGTTGCAGTTTTCGAGGCGCTCTCTGCAGTCTCTATATATGAGAAAGGCTTTGCTTTGTTTGTTCAGACTTCAGACTTTTGGAGAGTGGAGGAGTGGACTGTTGGAGGTGGAGCGGAGAGGCATGTACGCAGAAAAAACAGGGGAGGACTATTTGTCGTATATTAAAAAGGATCATAAAACTGAATTTAATTCGACTTTTACGTCCGAATTGGATATTATTATTATCATCCATCTCCTCACCTCAGTTTTTTTTTTCAAATTTCAATGACATGCCGAGAAATTGAAAAAAAAAAGAGAGCGGGTGAAGGAAAAATATAAAACATATATAGAATTAAAAACTATTTTTTTCGAATTTTTTAGCTCGACTTTATGCAATTTTACAAATTTTCATATTTGATTTTGGGCTCATTTGGAATTACTTTTCTCAAAAGCACTTATGCTTATAAGCTATGCTAAGTAAAAGCGCTTTTATTATAAAGATGTTGAAATTTTCTTAAGAAATAGAAATGCTTCCTAGAGAAGCACTTGGGAAAGCTTCTGGAAGAAGCGCATAGCAAGTGCTTCTCCAAAAAGCACTTCTAAATTTTTATATCAAACATTATCAAAAGCGTTTTTGGTTTTAACAGAAGCACTTCCAAACAGAAAAGTAGGGCTACATACTGCATTTTGCAAAGAAATATTTTCTAAATCAAGTATGGAAATTGGGTACCATGTGAAGTAAAGGATTGAATTGGTCATTTTCTATTTCTATTTATTTAAAATGTACTCTTTTTATTTGTTTATTTTAAATTTGGTGTTGGCAATGTGACTTTATTTATTTATTTCCCGGCATGATTATTGGCGCCCAGAGGGGCCTTGGGCTCTCCTGGTGTGGCCTAACAAGAAAGAAGGGTTGGTTGATCTTGGGCTTCCTTATCTGTTGTTGGGCCTTTCAACCTAGTGATTGTGGGGCTTATGGACCTTTTTATTACTTGGGCACCCAAATCCAATCTAATACGTACTGGATTGTGGATTTTCCGATCCAATTTAATCCGTATGGTTTAAGATCCGATCCAATTGATGTTGAATTATTGGATTAGATAGTCAGATTTAATAATACGAAAAAAATATTGAAATACGAAACAATTCTTGTCAAAATTAATGCAATAAAACATTTTAATAGATGGCACACGGGGTAGCACCATAGCGGAAAAGTGAGCCAAATTCTATCTTGAGGCAATTTAATATCTTACTCTCCCCTCCCCCTTTTCCTTCCCTAAAATAAAAAAAAATCATTTTAATGGATGCAAATGTAAAATAAAAAATGTATAGATAAATATATAGATAAGTTTGACCAAAAAGTCAGGTAGCACCGACTACTTGGTAGTTTCTAGGTACTATAATTTTTTTTTATGAAAACTTTCTTGGTACTTTCGGTTTTGCATATTCCAGATGTCATTCAAGAACGGCTATAACGTTCATTCTTTTGGGCCCCCTCCCCTTCTCTCTTGCATATTCCAATTTCCAAGTCTTTTAACTTTTTAATATTCTAGGTTCATAATCATGTAGCATTCATACCTTCTCCTTCTTTTCAGCCACTTGCTTGCTGCGTACGTTTTTTTTTGGGGGCCAGAACTTGCTGTGTACGTTAGGTGGACAAGTTGGCATCACTCTGACATGTGAAAAACAACCCTCCACATTTTTCGTTAATTATTTAGAGCTTGTTTGATAATCATTTTAATTTTAGTTTTTAGTTTTTAGTTTTTAGTTTTTGTGATAGAGTATAGAGGAAAATGAGTGTGAAAATGGAGGTGATGATATGAGATTGAGAGAAAGGATGAGAGGAGATGAATAACAAAAGTAAAAACAAAACCTTAAAATGTATTTGACTTTATCTTCAATCGACATGCAAGTAATGATGAATATCTTGTGCTGGAATCCACTAGTCTCTATCACAGCAGTATTTGGGGGATATTGGGAGCTTGCCATTTCTTTAGGTAGGTGTTTACACTTGAGGTTAAGCGATTTTGGGATATTTAAATGGTTATCATAATTTTTTGTTTTATACAAATGGTATTGAGAGAGGGCGATTTGACTACAGGACCTCAGATGTAGGGATAACTGCTCTTACAATATTGTAATTTTTGTTGTAATCAACTTGATATTGTTCACGGTCAATTGGGTCAATTTTAACGATGTTTTAATATATTGTCACAAAGAATCACATACTTAGGATCTATTGTTTGAAAGTGATTAAACAAATTGGAGGGAGAGTAGAAATGAGTAATGAAGTATGATTTCGAAGTAAGAAGCGTGTGATTTCAGAATAAGATGTGATAAGAGGCAGATAGACAATTTGAGTTTTGCAATTGGAGATTTAGGATTTGAAAGAGATGGGACAGAGGAGAGAGAGTTTCTAAATTATATATATACCTACTAGTCAAGTTATGCCATGTTTTCAAAATTGTAATTAACTAATTATGACAGTCATAGAACATTGCTTTTTGAAGAGTAAAAATCTAGTGGTCTTGGTACTTCTGAAAACCCAATCCAATCTCTACATGAGTTCATGCGAAATTCTATAGCCATATATGGACCCCTCAAATGAATCATGTGTAAAAATCCACATCTATAGTCCATATATGATACTCTCACTATAAAATGACCTGTGAGTTCATATATAGTGGAAATCAACCCCAATCTTGACCGTCCACGAATTCCGGGCTCACATGGACAGACAAACACTAGTTCCATAAATATTTATAAAGAAGCAAACTTTGAGCTTCATGCACACATGACATGCTTAAAATATCCTCAGTCTTTATATGATTACATAAAAAGTCATTATTATGTATTTTGAAATTCTTCCTTTTTGGCTGAATTAAATTGGAAGTCATTGTCAACAGCAGAAAACCCAATTGAATAAAACAAATTACAAATCAATATCTTCACACAGTAACAATATCTTGCCTGTCTACCCACATAGTCAACACAATAATTCCTCAATTGCACGTAATGATTTTCCCATTTTGCCCCCAATGGCCGCTTTTAAGTAACAAGACAAATTCAAAACATATGGCCAGTTATGTCAGATCAGATACACGTATCTCATTTCTCCACAGCGGTGGTAGTCTGTGATTGGCAGGAACAGTAATATATCTCATTTCTTACAGCGCGTGGTAGTCTGTGATTGGCGGAGAACAGTAAACAGTGCATAAGTTTTTCTGCATTTTTCACTCTCGAAACAACCAAAACCTCCATTCCCTATAAAATAACACCCACATCTCACTCAACCCCTAATCAAAACTCCAACTTTAAGTATCAGAACAGCAGCAACAGCAGAAAGCAGAAAGCGGAAAGCAGAGGAAGAAGAAGAAGCAAATCTTCAAATCTTCCAAGAAAAACAACAACAACTCAGAAAACGAAAAAAGAAACCAAGATCATGAGGTCCAGCAACCACTTGATTGGGCTACTAAATTTCGCCACTTTCCTCCTCTCAATCCCAATCCTTGGAGGGGGCATATGGCTGAGCGGCAGAGCCAACAACACAGACTGCCTCAAGTTCCTCCAATGGCCGCTCATCATCATCGGGGTCTCGATCATGGTGGTTTCCCTAGCTGGGTTTGCAGGAGCCTGCTATAGGAACACTTTCCTCATGTGGGTTTACCTGTTCGTCATGTTCTTCATCATAGCAGCTCTGATTGGCTTCATCATCTTCGCATATGCTGTCACAGACAAAGGATCAGGCAGGCCTCTGACGAACAAGGCATATATGGACTATTATCTGGGGGACTATTCCGGCTGGCTGGAGGAGCATGTAGCTAAAGACAGCAACTGGAGAAAGATTGCCTCTTGTGTTAGAGACTCCAAGGTTTGCCAGAAGATGGGGAGGACTGTGAATGGTGTGCCTCAGACTGCCGACATGTTTTTCAACAGAAAGCTCAGCTCTGTTCAGGTATGTACTTAAATTTGTTTTCATGTTTGTTTCATTTTATTTACAGCCATGGATTTTTTTTTCTTTATGAACAATAAGAAAAAAAAGAATTGGGTTTCATTAGGAATTTTATTTTGGGTTGTGTTCATATAGCACAACTTAATCTGATCACTTTAGTGCTTGGGTTTTGAATTAGGAATTTTTTGTCATGTTCTGATTTTTGTGGTTTAGACTTTAGAGGGCCGGGAAAGAACCCGGCATCCGAATTCACCCAATTTTCGTGAATTAGAGTAATTTAGAATATCGCTATTAAAAAAAAGTCGAAGAAG